GAGTCAGCAGAAGTAAACATAATTGTGGATTGTCTTCAAACTGCTTCTGATGGTTCGGAGAGTGAAAATGGTGATTCTAAGGACTAGACTGGGCGTGGCCAGAAGGAGTCTGAGACCAGACTTGTCCAAGTAACAAACCACAAGTGTCAATTGTTCCTTCTTTCACACTTAGGGAAGGAGAAAGGAGGGAAGGAGCCACACAGACAGGAGAAAAAGGTTTAAGAGTTGAACACTGACTGATGTACAGTAGATGTTGTGATAAATCTAATTTATCAAGCGTTGCGTTCTTATGAAACCTTCACTTCCAGGATGGGCCAGGAAAACTCTGATGATGATTATATTAAAGAAACCCAGGCCTCCAATGACCAAACTTTAAAGGGAATTAGCATGGATAAACTTTATGCCCGTGAAACTTCTTATTGTTTGCAGAAATATGGGGAAGTATTTAGCAAAATGCTAGGCTTTGTTCCAGTACAGTAAATAAAACATATTCTGAATGGCTTGAGCACAATAACCTGCACACCTGAACTAACAAAGAAGCACTGCTTCTGTGCTGAAATTGAAAGGTCAGACTCCATGTTTTATTCTATATATCATAAGAGAAAGCAAAATTATATATACATGTTACAACTCTCTTCAGGCAGATTCCAGGATAATGTGAGGAAGTCTGTGCAAGTTAAGAAAACCCTCTGGATGTACTCGGAATTTTCTAGATCCCCCACAATCTTCTAAAGCAATTAGTGTTCTGACAGTTAATTTTGACATGCCATGTAAACATTAAGGATGGAAGAAGTGCTTAATCTCTGTACTAAGATGAGTAATTACTAATGCTGAATTAGTATTTCCAGATTTCAAAGGTATCTACTGTTTGGTTTGAAAGCTAAACAAGATCAAAAGTGTCACAGAGCCTTCCACTTCTGGTACCCTGAAGGCCATAATTTGGGTTTCAAAGTAATTCAGGATTGTAACAAATATGGTTTGCTTCTCTAACCACCATAATCTCTACAAGAGGAAATATTTTGTAGAGAAAAAAAACAGCTGATACCCTATAGGTTTTCTCTCTAAGTAAATAAGGAAGCATGTCATTAGGTTGAAGAATATAGTGCCAGTGTTAGAATATCTGGTTATTTCTAACCTGAAAATGGCTATGTTTGAAAAATGATGTGAATGTAATAGGAAACAGGAACTGTTTTTTTAAGAGTTGGAGATTGTATATTCCTACTGCATTTGGTTAGTTATTGTTAAGGATTTCAGTCAGTCATACGTTCAGAAGAGTTTTGAAAGGATCATAAAAGTAAATGAGAGAGATTTCTGATGATTGGTCTGTATGGAATTACATATATATAGCAAAACATGGTTTCCTTTTCCTGTCAGTGACTTGGCTGATAGTGTCCTCAGTTAAATAAGAACAATTAATGGTTACTAGATGAGATAATATTATAAGAAGATATATTCTCTGATTTGATTCTGCAAGAATGTGATGACTCAGGTGGTGGAGCCAAAAGATGGTAGAATTCAGAATATTAAAAAAAAAATCTAGAGATTGCAGATTTTTTAAACATGAATATTTACATACATTTATCCAGTTCAGTTTTCTGAATGTATGCCTAAACCAGGGGTAGGCAACCCAAAACACTCAAAGAGCCACTTGGACCCGTTTTCCCACCGAAAACAAAACACTAGGAGCTGCAAAACCCTTTTGACATCTAAAATGAAGATAACACTGCATATATCCTTTTTTACCTTTATTATATCTATCTATCTATCTATCTATCTATCTATCTATCTATCTATCTATCTATCTATCTATCTATCTTTGGTTATTTGGGTTTTCTCCCACGTAAAATTGGAAGTGTCTTGGCGACGTTTCGACGAAGTCCCATTCGTCATCTTCAGGCTGGTGTTTTCAGCTTTGTGCTTCGAGGAGCAATGTGTGGTCTTAGCTGTTTCTTCCTTTTAATTGCCAGTGACCTACTTACAAAGACCTACATACAAACACCCGCAAAAACCTCAGAAAATATATATACATGTTTTCTGAGGTTTTCGCGGGTGTTTGTATGTAGGTCTTTGGTTATTCGGGTTTTCTCCCGCGTAGAATTGGAAGTGTCTTGGCGACGTCCCCAAGACACTTCCAATTCTACACGGGAGAAAACCCGAATAACCAAAGACCTACATATATATATATATGTGTGTGTGTGTGTGTGTGTGTGTGCGCGTGTGTGTGTGTGTGTGTGCGTGTGTTTTCTGAGGTTTTTGCAGGTGTTTTTATGTAGGTCTTTGGTTATTCGGGTTTTCTCCCACGTAAAATTGGAAGTGTCTTGGCGACGTTTCGACGAAGTCCCATTCATCATCAACACCAACTGAAGATGACGAATGGGACTTTGTCGAAATGTCGCCAAGACCCTTCCAATTTTATGTGGGAGAAAACCTGAATAACCAAAGACCTACATGTATGTATGTATGTATGTATGTATGTATGTATGTATGTATGCATGGATGGATGGATGTATATATTAAAGGTAAAAAAGGATATATGCAGTGTTAGCTTCATTTTAGATATCAAAAGGGTCTCTCTCTGTGTCTCTCTCTCCCTCCCTCCCTCTCTCTCTCTTTCTGCCCTTGGTCTGCCAGTCCTTTTCTCCCACTCTCTTTCTTTCTCTCTCTCTCCCCCCCTCTCCCCCTCTCTCCGATCTTCTGCTCACCTGGCAAGCTGGCTTCAAGCTGTTTTCCAACAAGCTCAGTGTTAGGCAACCTCGGCTCTTTTATGACTCATGGACTTCAACTCCCAGAATTCCTGAGTCAGCATAGCTGGGCTAGCTAGCTCTCTTGTGCCCTTCCTGCTTCCTGTTTCCTGCAGAGATGCAGCAAAGGGAGGAGCCCCACCCAAAAAGCTTTTCAGCTTGTCGGAGAACACTGAGTCCACTCTCTTTTACACACACACACACACACACACACACACACACACACACACACAGGGAGAGAGAGAGAGAGAGAGAGAGAGAGAGAGAGAGGAGCGCAGGTGCCTCTCTCTGTCTCTCTCTCTCTCTCTCTGCAAAGGGCAGAGGAGGCTGGGAGCCACAGGGGAAGGCTCAAAGAGCCGCATGTGGCTCTGGAGCTGCAGGTTGCCGACCTTTGGCCTAAACCATAATGGAACTGTATGTTGAAATACAGATTTTCAGAAATCTTGCAGTGTAGTTTGCAATTTAAAAATGAGTATACTACTGTGTTGTGTTAGAGACAAATTGTTTGCAAATTATACATACACAGCATAGAACATACACTAGACCCTCAGTTTAGCAGGTCTTGTTGCAATGGACTTGAAATGAACCAACTCTCTGAGGTGATTTATACTATTTGGATAATTACAGCATTACACAAATGATGTGATTTTTATCATGCATGACAATGTCCTTATTCAAAGGGTGCAGATGGATGCAAATGAAGTAACTTACAAAAAATGAACGTTAGTGCAAATTCATTTTGGGGGCAGATTTGCAGATGCCAAAACAGATCTTCAACTGAAAAAAATGAGAAACAGGATGGTAGAATTGTGCTTCAATAAAGGCAATATATGAAGCAATATTATCTTTCAAAGCTGTTTGGCAAAGCAATCCAGCCTCTTTTTTTTTTTTTTTTAAGTACATCAAAGTTGCTGCACAACTTCACTTTTCAAAGTTCCAAGGAATCTTCTGCAAGCTCTTCTAGGATTTGTAAAGCTGGAAGAGGTGAAGCAACAATAAGCAAATTGCATTTGCACCACTCTCAATGCTCCTAACTCAAACTAATCAAAGCAGGTCCACTTTGTAGATTGTACCCTCACCCAGAGATGCTTTTGAGCTCGTTGACATAAACAAACACATACTGGCTCCATTTCCCTTTTTGAAAATATAATATTCATCCATTATTTAGAACTTTCTGACTAGATTATCTTAGATTTATTTTAGGGAATATGCTATAATTTTATTTTAACCAATAGCAGCCAAATTGGCCCACCTTTTCTAGCAAGTCAAAGGAATATTTTATAACCCCTTCTTTAAATGGCATAAAACCTTTCTCCAAGTTGGATTCTTTTCTGCAACAATGCAGGCAAAAGCTATGATTATCCCTAAAATTAGTTCCCTGATTCTAAAAACTGTTTGGTTTTCTTTCCTTGCTTCTCTGTTTTGCTAATCACTTGCCTGATGAAAAAAGGCAAACATTTTGCCTAATGAAAATGAGAACTCAAAACATTTGACCACTATTTTATGATGTCTTGGTTGGCCTGATAAAAATATGGCATTACTATTAATTTATTATTTTTGTCAGTATGGCCTTATGAAGAGTTACACAAAACAGAGATGTAAGGCAAAATAGGAGGAGGAGGAAATATTAGGTATGCTCACCATCTTGAGTTATTTATAAAAATTATAAAGGTGAGATTAAACAAACAAATAAATAAAGTCTAATTACAGCCTGTAGGTGGCAATGCTCATCTCTTATTCAATGTACCCCATACCGAATTGGGATACTTTTCCATTTGTTTTATGCTGCCTAACTCTCTGCATGTTTGTTTAGGAATTAGTTCATTGTGCTTTATCCTGCCTTAATCTTTTTATAAGCTAGACTAAACTAGTTAGAAATGCATGACATTAAATTTGGCAGCATTTACTCCTAAATAATTGATTAGTTCTCAGCCTAAGCATTCCTGGATTTCTGGAAAAATATGTATTTGACATACTGTACAGTAATTGTATGTTGTCACTGGCAATTCAAAAACATTCTGTGGTTTTGTTTGAATACGTTATCACCTTTATTTGTTAATAGAGATATAAATGTAATATAAGAGACAATTTGGTGTAGTAGTTAAAGCATGAGGCTAGAAACTGGGAGACTCTGAGTTCTAGTCCTGCCTTAGGCACAAAGCCAGCTGGGTAACCTTGGGCCAGCCACTTTCTCTTAGCCCTAGGAAGCGGGCAAAGGCAAAGCACTTTTTAAAAACCTTGCCAAGAAAACTTCAGGGATTTGTCTAGGCAGTTGCCAGGAGTGAACACTGACTTAAACGCATAAAAATACATCCATCTCAGTTAAACCTGTATCCAAGAATTAATCCCATTTCCTGTGAATTGAAAGTTCTGTTGTTTGCAATGATCTCAAATTAACACTTTCTTGTTGTATGGCTGGGGCATTCTTGGAGTTGAAGTCCAGGCATCTTAAAGTTGAGGTGAGGTGTACAGATTCAAATTTCTGAAAGAAAATCCAGAGATAAATACATCAAAATCCCTAATATACAGTATTGATGCATTATGGAGAAATAAAATGGGATCATAATGATTGGTTTCAGCCCCGTCATTGTATTCCCTTCCATGTTCTGGCCATGATTGCAATAAATGTTGAGAAGCTGTCTAGGGCGCTTCCCTGTTTTTAAAATATTGGAAATGAGAGCACGATCATGATTCCACATTAAAAAAAATGTTTAAGTCCCTCAAAGCAATATTTCCCATCAAAGAATATTGCGAGCATGTATTGTGAGGGAGAGAGTATTTTGGCTATAAAGAATTTGATTATGTAAAATTTCCAATTGCTTCTTAACACTGTTTTATGCTTCTTTTTGTTTTCTATTTGTGACTGTTAACTCCCAAACCATTATACAAACAATATTTCAGTGGTTTGTTTGAAAAATTGTCCAGAAAGTTCTTAACGGTATTTTTTAGTCAGAAACATCTTCCTTTGAGCTTAGTGGGATTTACTTTAGTGTTAAGCTAAACATCCATTTGGTTAAATTGTTGCATTTGGAGTTATGAGACAAACATTTAAAAAGAAGATTTCAAAAAAAGTATGTGAGCAAATATTTATTTGACTTTGTTTTAAATCACGAAAATTGGAAAGATCCTAGAATATACAGCTGGCTCATACAACTTGTTGGGCCATTCCTGATTCACACTCTCATTTAATTTCTTTGGGTAAATATAGACTGCACACTAAATTGTACTAACATTTTCCTGTAGCTATATATTGGCAGGAAGAAGAATTATGGTAACGACAACAATTAATTGTCATCCATAATATTGAAAAGAACACTAAGGGCTCATTCCTGTTATACAAAGCCATAATTTGATGTAATGTCTGCCAAACCTGTTATCTGTGGCCTAACAGCTTTTTTCAAGCTTTCGTAATTCTTCTAAATATGGAAAATATGTGACATACAGCAGACAGTAAGACAAAAGAAATGTGTACAATATGCAGTGTAGGCAAACAACTTCATTATACTGTTTCTTTCTTTAGAAAAACCGGTTAGACTAGCTGATCTCTAGATCCCTTTAGTCTTGAAGTTATACATGTGAAACTACGGTTTGACAATTAATAAATCTTTTCTGGAATTGTGTATGAATCTGATGACGCTGACAACATAATTCAGGTGAGATCAGCAAATAAAAAAATGAAAAAGATATTTTTAATCAATATTTTTCTCTCTAAGGAAATGTGTATCAAATTCATAGGTACTACTAAATCTTACAGTAAATTGTCAGTAGAAACTTGAGGTGTATGACAGATTCAAAATGTGGGGACTTTCACCATACCAAATGTTTTCCTCAGAGGCTCTGTATAGCAATTAAATCACTCATTTAGTAAGCTTTCTCCAAGTGAATCTTTGTCCATTTTGAAAACACTAGACTTGGTTCTTCTGAGCACATGTATTCCATATACATATAGTCAGTGCTTTTTTTGTAAATAAAAAAAAATGTGCCGGAACTCACACACTTTATACAACCCGCCTTGCCTACCCTACAAGGTTCCATCCAAAAAAAGTGCCGGAACTCCGTTGTGGGCATTCCATGAGAAAAAAAGCCCTGCATATAGTTCTGATAACAAGAGGATTTTAGTAGGATCTTTGCTGACCACAGCAACACTTGTATGAGCAGTGAATTTTTTACATTTTTGGTCTAAGATGTTTGAGAGAGATTTCCTCAGTGAGTTCAGCCTCTTTTTATTGCTGCTATTTATGTCCATGGCTCAACTGTGTACAAGCAAAGGAGAAGATGAACAGTGCTGGTGCTTCAAATTGCTTTTGTAATAATTCACTCAGAGGAAACAAAGGGGCACATCAAGCAAAGAGGAGATCACCAGAGATTGGTTTGCTAATGTATGGGTCTTGCCAGATCATGCCAGCTATAGTCCTGCAATCTGAGATATTTCCCTATTGCTCAAAAGGTTGTGTACTTCCATCTTCTTTAGCTAGATTGCAAAATGAAATTTTGGCAGCATGAAAAGTAAACGCCAGCTCTCTAAAGGTTTTAGTAAAGTTACAGCTGCTGCAGCAAAGTTAGATTTCTCCCCTGTGGCAGGGAGAATCAGTTAAAGACACTAAGTTTCTTTAGCATTACTGTTAGGTATTTCTTGTGTGGATTAGTATGTACGTGTGAATGTTTGGTTAGATTACAGTTCACAGTATTATGTGAACCTAGAAAATATTAAGTAAGTTGTGTGACAGCAATCAATATGACTAATGCCAACAGAAAGCAAAGAGAACAGTTTTAAACATAGTTATATGTCTGTGTTGGATAAATCTCTGGGCTGGTCCTATATTAGGTTGAATGAAGCTATCCCCTCAGACGTTAGATGTGCAGAAAGTAGAAGCAAGGCATTGAACAGACTAATCCTGCTTTTCATCTCCCAAGTTTGCCTGCCAAGGACAAGACATTTTTTAAAGGAACTTAGTCTGATTGACTTTGCTACATAGAATATGGAGTGAGATTAAGGGGGCAACACCCTGTCCTTTGCCTCAAGCTATCCCATGGTCTAATTCAATCTTAGTCATGTGCACTTTTCTCACTAGAAGAATTATTTTAATTTTTCACAAATAGGATTCCATTATGTACTGGTGGAGATAAACAAAGTACCCATTCACAACATTGGCTATGATAAAATAACATGCTGCAATGCTCAAATGAGATAGTGCCGTCTTTGCAGAAAATGAATGATTATGTGATATCTAAAAGATTGCATCATCTGTAAATAATTTTATCTTGGATTCTCTGCCATGTATCTAGTACATTTAACATGAGAATCGCCCAGCTGAAAATGAAATCTTTTTGAAAAAGATTTCTCATTTCTTGTAGTTCACAGTTGTACAACATTTATATTTGTGTCTTAATTTGAAGACAAGTTAAATAAAACTAGCAGGGGTTGATTGTAAGATTGTGGTTTCCTTCATAATTTGTTTTAAAAAGCTTTTCTCACTAAAATACAAACTTGGGAATAAAAATATCCGACTGTAATTTTCAATTTTGTTATAGGAATTGTTCCATTTTTAAGAGGAAAAACCACACTGGGTCAAATAGCCACTTAGTTACCAGAAAAGGAGTGAAAATGGTGACTGCTGATTCCATTGGAACAGCAAGAAGATATAAAACATACATCTCAATATCTTTGTGTTTTTCTGTATAAAATGGCTTCCTTTTTGTATTTTTATGCGTAGTATGGCTCGGCAAGGCGAAGGATTTCTAAATACAAACCCTCAGAGCTTCTTCCTTCTTTTCTGTTCTTTTTTCTAATCAGCAGTTCTTCTCATGCAACCTAACATGTGGAGTATCTCTCCTTTTATCTCCAAGACCAACCTGTTATATAAGAAGGGTGTAATGGAAGAGCATTTGATAATACCACATAAGAAGAAACAATAAAAGTGCTTAATAATAAGAAGGCATAATTGCAATAGTATATTATATTAAAACTTTTGGTGACCTTCCTAGGACCTTCAGCGTAGCCCTACGCTGGGCAGGTGTTATGCATTAGCTAGAATAATCTTGGGGAGGGGATGTTGCTTTACCTTTGACAAAGGCAGGGATCCCAAAATCTGAAGATTGTGATCTATCCTGTATTTGTACTCATCTATTGAATGTTTCCACTTCTTGTCTGTTGTAGTTTGTGGATTGTTTTCTTTCGATTTGATTTGCTCAATGCATTACTTCTACCTCATTTGTGTGCTCATTATCTTCAAATCCATGAACCTGATGCTCAAACTTTGCTGTGGCAAAACAGTAAAGAGCATCAGGAGAAGCAAAAAAAATGAGTGTAGTGGAAATGGAGTATTTAAAACAAGTGGGTGATAAAATAAGAAGAAACAGAGTTAAGACTGGATGGATGAATGGATGGATGGATGGAAATTGAATGAATGTAGACTGCATATGGGGTCGCGACAGGTCGGACACAACTTCGCAATTAACAACAACAAGACTCCGTATAAAATGAGTGACCTGTATAAAAGAAAGATATTGAAATGATTTGATCATGCATAGGGAATGGATAAGAATCAAACTGAAAAAGTATATTAAGTATACTAAGAATGTTAAGAAAAAGTGAATGGGTCAAAAATAGAAGACCAAGAACTCATAGTTGAATGCACCTAATCAGATTGTCAAAACAGTGAGTGAAAAGTTTAAAGAATGGAAGGCAAGTTATGAATCAGTGGATGGATGGGAGCAATGGAAAAAGAATATGGAGAAGTAGAGTAAATGTCTTGTAGAAATTAGATCATTGTACTTTTTTCTGATTCATATATTTAGATGTCCTCGCTTACTATTTCTTAGCCTTTTCTGTGCTTTGGCATAATGTTACTTACCCTAAAAGGGAATAGCATGATGAGTATGCTGCTCCAGCTTTGTTCAGCATGGTTTACAGCCTCTGGTTGTAACCATTTTTTTCATGGATTACTGTTGGTTTTCCATATTTTTCAAAGTACTTCTTTATGGGAGTGATCCCTTTCCTTTCAAGGATTATTTAGTCATTGTGATTACACCAGTAATTATCCAATCAAATTTAACCATGCAGTGATGTCACTAGGAGAAAAAAAAGAGTAGGAGTGGTGATTCCTATAATTGTGCTTATAACTACTGTAAAGAAGATTGGAAACCACTTTTTATGTCTTCTTTCTTTTCTATTTTTCTTCTAGCACTTTTTTTCTAGCACTTTAGTTCACCATTTTATTTCTTCCTTTTTCTTTTATTCTTCTCATTCTTTTATAATTTGTATTATTTTTACTCTTGTTTTTAAAGCTTTTGATAAAAGTATATGTATGTATGTGTGTTTGTGTTCATTATTCTTTTCTCACCTTTATGGGAGCCTGGGAGTTTGAGGGTTCTGAGCGGGAACTTAGCAGTTCCTAGCAGTGTACTTTTCTGGACAGGCAGTTCTGATATTGTTCTTGGGATCTGTTGGATCAATTCTCCCAGCTTAGGAGTCAGAGCCCTGAGAGCTCTCTGACCTTTACTTCCCACATCCACTCTATTTCCCCCTTCAAGCCTTGGTACTCCTCATACTTCTTCTTGATGTTGCTGTCACTTGGCACCACTATGTCTATCACCACTGCTATTTTCTGGTTCTTGTCTATAACCGTTCTATCTAATTGATTGCCTGTTTGTCTGGATGTGGAAGTTCCACAGGACCTTAACCCCCTTAATCTCCACAACTTTCTGTGGAATCTCCCATCTGAACTTGGGAAGGTCTAGCAGCTAGCCCATACACTGTGGAGATGTTCCTGTACACAATGCCAACTACTTAGTTATACCATTCAATGTATGCTGTCCCTGCCTGCATCATAAATCCTGCCACTATGTATTGGACTGTTGAGTCCTGTCTAGTATGGTAGATCCCTGCTTCGATGGATCTGGTTCTTAGTACCTGTTCTTATGCAGCTATGAACAGTGCCTCAATGCTGTCTTTTAATCTAGCCCTTTTTAGACACTATAGGATTTTCCAATGTCTGTCACCCCAGCTATCTGTCAATGGTACATTCCATACATGGTCTTGACTTACCATGGCACTTCGTCTGTTTGATCTTTCTCCCCTGTCTGCTGCTGCCTTAGGCATTGTCCCAGCAGCTCATCTTTAGGTGCCATCTTACTGTGGTACTCCTGGATGCTCTGGGTTTCATTCAGGACAATGGCTTTGACACTGCGAGACTCTACTCACTTTCTGGCTGATGTACAGTGTCAGGATTTTGGACTTGGAATGGAGACCTCCCTACATTGTGAGGAACTTCTGGGTCTTCACCTCAGCAGCTTCCATTTCCTTTCCTGGCTAGCTTATTATATCAGCAAGTCATCAGATACCTGGCAGGGCCCAAGGCCTGTGGGGTCATAGTGGAGCGGGATGGGGGTGGAGGCAGCAGAGGCATTCTGCAGTTGATTGTAAGAGCAAATCCACCCAAATTTTGTTCACTGCAGGGCTGCTGCAGCTTCTGTAAATCTGAAAACGGGTCATAAGAAGTTTTTGTAGCATCTGACGAAACTTTGAATGATCACTTGACTGGTTATAACTCAAGGACTATCTGTAGCAGCAAAAGCTATTTGCATGATAGGAAATATGGTTGCAAAGTGCATATACTTTATACAATAGCAGAGGTATTTATGCTTTTTCTGCTTTAAAACCACTAATGTCACATCTCTGATTGTATCAACAGAATAATAAGTGGGAAATAAAGGAAGAAGAGTCACTGTGCTTTGGGGTAATTGCAGTAAGGATTAGATAAGTATGGGGACTGTTATAATTTCAAATTCCATCAATAACCAACCACAGCACTAATTACCTTAAAGGAACTCATCTTTCTTATACTTCCTCTAGAATTTTATTTCATCTTTTCTATCTAGTGACTATGCTACACTCTTAGTCCTCGACATGTCCAGAATTGAGCCCAAAATTTCTGTTAAGCGAGACATTTGTTCAGTGAGTCTTGCCCCATTTTATGACCTTTCATGCCACAGTTGTTAAGTGACTCAGTGCAGCTGATAAGTTAGTAACACAGCTGTTAAGTGAATCTGGCTTCCCCATTGACTCTGCTTATCAAAAGCTTGCAAAAGGTGATCACATGACCTTGGGACACTGCGACCGTCATAAATATGAATCAGTTGCCAAGAATCTGAATTTTGATCACATAATGCTACAAAGGTCATAAGTATGAAAAACGGTCAAGAAGCAAATTTAGATGAGTGGCAGAAAGGTATCAATAAATTTATCTGGGCAGGGAAAAAACCAAGAGTAAAACTTAAAATTATACAAGATATACGAGAGAGAGGTGGACTCAAGGTACCGAATCTGAAATTGTATTATGATGCCGTGGTTTTTACATTAATCAGTGATTGGGTTAACTTAACAAATGTAGATATACTCCTTTTGGAGTGATGGGATTTATTTTTTGGATGGCATGCCTATTTAATTTATAATAAAAAGGTTGATAGGATTTTTAAATCTCATATCTTAAGAACTTCTTTACTTCGGGTTTGGAAGAAATATTACAGAAGTGATTCAAGAATTCCATTATGGGCTATTCCATGGCATGCAATAGAAGGAATAAGGAGAGGAGTTAAGATGGATACTGTTTCTTATACACAATTATTTAAGTGGGATGGTAAAAATTGGCAATTAAAATCTACGGATGAATTAGCACAAGAAAATATTATTTATTCATGGTTTCAGTATAGACAACTATTGGTAAGGTGGAAGATAGATTATAATGTGGGCTTGCTTAGAGAGGATGAGAATTTGTTAAAACAAATTAGAGATCAAAGTCGAACCCATATTAAAAGAATTTATGGTGTGTTAGTGGAATTGGATTCAGAAGCAGAGTTAGTTAAAGATTGTATGGTTAAGTGGGCACAAAATTTTGATGAACCGATACTATTAGACACATGGGAGATTATTTGGGTGAGGAATGTTAAATTTACGCAAGCCCAAAATTTACGGGAAAATTTTTATAAAATGTTTTATAGATGGCACCTTGATCCACAAAAAAATCTCTCGTATGTATTTAAACCTACAGCCCAAATGTTGGAGATGTGGTTGCTTGGATGCCACTTATTATCATATTTGGTGGTCATGTAAAAGTATAAAAGCTTTTTGGATTAAGGTATGGTGGAATATTCAAAGAATTTTTAAAAGAAGGATAAAATTTACTCCACAATTGTTTTTGTTGGGTATTGTTTCGGATTGTGATGACAAAGAGATCATTTTAATGTTAAATTTAATTACTGCGGCTAGGTTGTTAATAGGGCAATATTGGAAGAAGGAATCTTTGCCTACTCTGCAAGAATGGTTTTTAAAAGTTTCTTATTTAGCGGAAATGGCAAAAATTTCGGCTTTCTTGAAAGATCAATCGCAAGAGAAGTATCTCTTGGTGTGGAAAAGATGGATAAATTTTATACAATGTAAGTATGATATAAGAAAATATCATCTAGCTTTCGAATAATTTATATTTAAAGTTCAAGATATTATTTAGAAGTGTAATTATTATTATTCTTTAATTTTTTATTTTTTTATTTTCTTTTTCTTTTTTTTTCTTTCCTCTTTCTGTTTTTTTATATATAATGGAGTTAAAGTATTTCACAATTTGTTTATTGAGTGTAATTATATTTGTTTAAGGTTTATTTGGGTTTTAAACTTTTTTTTTTAAAATTCTAGTTAAGCCTGTATTCAGCTTTGGGAAGAATGGGGGAGGGTTTTGGGGTGGGTTGGGAGGGATCGGGGAAGGGGTTTTTATTGTAAAATCTTAAAATTTTTTAATAATAATAAAAAAAGAAAAACGGTCATAAGTCCACCTTTTTCAGTGCCATTGTAACTTTGAACAGTCACTAAAAGAACTGTTGTAAGAAATGTGTAAGAACTGTGTTCTTACTTCACTTAGTACATTGGCATGAGCATGTACTGTGCCAAGGAAAGGTTAGCACTGCATACAGTGGGTGAAAGTATCAGTTGCACAGAATGTGCCCTAACTGTTTCTCTCGTTTTACATTGCCTGCTTAGCAAAAGGAAGAGAATTTAGCATGTTTTGTGTTGCACAAGACGATTTCCCTAGTTTGAGCGATTCAGGGTTATAGTCACATGTAAATGAGAAGCAACGAAGTAGTTTTCATTGATGTGATGTTTACCCATCACGATGCTGTCAGGTCCCTAAATCCTTATTGTTTTCCCTGCATATTGTGGGAGATGAAAATATAGCCCCCTCCTCATATAATAAGATGAAGCTGGAGCAAGCCAGAGATAGGCCCCACAGTGGTGATTTAAAGCTTTAACTTGAACTTTATATTCTTTATATTATATACAATATGAACGTATTATTTGTAATCTGCTGAGCTTTGTGCAATATGACATTGCAAAGTAAGTAGTTCTACTATGCATATTTGGAACGTGAGTATTGTAATCGACAATATGTATTCCACAACAATATGTATTCTTGTTTAGGGCCTGCCATTCTGCTAGGAGGAAGGAGGGATTTGCTTTCGCTTGGGATAACTTTCGCTTTCTACTTTTCCTCTCCCGCCTCTATCCACTTGAGAAAAGAATGTGTCTTTCTTATAAGGGAGACAGTTAGGGAGAAACGAAACTGGAGAAGACCTTGAGATGCTTGTGTCAACTGTGCCAGTTACCCAAACATCGTGCTACCTGTGGATTGGCTGGCTTTTAAATGGACACTATGACTTTGGTGGGAGGAGAAAAATTGCTAGTTTAACTATACCGTTTAAGCGGGTTTTCCCCCAGATCTTGCCTTGACTTCCCTACTATCACTAACCCCTAATAAAAGTTCCTTTTGAGACAATGCCTGTTTCAAGAGTTCTGCTTTCTTGGGTGGTTAGCTGAGGTGGGTCCATATAGATGCCTTGCAGTTGCTCCCAGTCAGGTGTATCTATTATGGAACCTTTAGATAAGTCCCAGTATCCCATGCATTTGAGTAGGATT